ATTATGGGCAAATCACCAATTCGTACATGATTTGCCGACGATTTCCATGGCCACCATGGCAAACTGTGAGTCAGTGGTAGCTCAGAATTTACACTCGGGGAATCCCAGGTCCAAGAATTCTTTCTGGCTGATTTTTGAAACCTATGAATCACCCAGAATCATCCAAATAACACATATGACACCTAGCATTTTTGGATGATTACTGGGATGAAGGTTTCTTCCCAGGGTTGCCACGCCCATCAAAAATGACCATCGCATTGCATCGTTCGAGGTGCTCGGCGACCTAGATGGTGTCATCAGCGGGCTGTGGGGTCTGAAGGTCAGGGTTGGAAAGCGAACACGGGGATTTCACCCATCCAAAATGAGGGACCATGGGGACATGACCTGGGATCACGGGGATTTCACCCATCCATCTTAAACTGGTTGGTAACGTGTCATGACCTGGTTGGTGATTTTCAAGATGTACATAGCGGAGCAGTGTTCAAAGCCACCGTTGGTTGATAGTTGTGGGGGAAATACTACCCTTTATAGTGGTGATCTTCAGAATCCATGAAGTGGGAAGCCCTGTGAACAATTGATAAAATGAAATGATAGAGGCTTTTGGCCACTGCCCAATCTACAAGAAACACCTAAATCGGGAATAAACATATGGTAAACCGAATATTTTTCAAAACGCCGCCGTTGTGTTCCCTCTTTGGTTCAAAAAAGTCGACTGACATCAAGTGGAAGAGCCAGGTGATTCCGCAGGTCATACGTGACATGGGTTACGCACTGGCCTGGGAGCTTGGACCTGCAGCCGATGATTCGACGGATTCAATGGGTACCCAGTTTTTGGACAAATGCATGGGAAAAAATGCCAATCCCAGGCCCGAATTCAGATTCAGATTAAACAATGTCTTTCACATTACAATAAAAACATATAAAAACCATAGAATCATAAGATATGAAGAGCTTATCCTTAACATGACAGGATATTCTTCAGGTGTTTTTCGCTTCATCCACTGCCTGTACCTCTAAGATGATCGCCCTTTGATGTCGGGTCTGGGGCATCACCTGAGGTGGCAAAGAGTCGGTTTATGTTGCTGGGCCACAGCAATATCTCAGAGGCCCAGGGGAAGATAAAACTCCTGGACATGAGGTTTTATATACCATGACATAATATATATATATACAATATAAAATAATATAATATAATATAGTATAGTATAATATAATATAATATAGCATAATATAATATAATATATACAATACATATAATATATATATACAATATGATATATATATGATATATACAGTCTATAATAATATATATATAATATTGTATATTATATATATTTTTTACATAATCTATATGATTTGTATAATATGACAATATATATAATATAATAATATGTATAATATGATTATTTAATTTTATATTTAATATAAAATGATAATATACAATATAATAATATGTATAATATGATTATATACATATAATATAATATGGCAATATGTATATTATGATTATTTATATAATATAATATGATAACATATATAATATGATAACATATATGATATAATAATATATATAATATGATTATATATCTAATGTGATAATATATAATATGATTATATATATACATATAGTACGACGATATATAAACTATGATAATATATATATATATATAATCTGATAATACACATATATATATACATAATATGATAATATATACATAATATGATTGTGTACATATATAATAAGGTTATTATATATATTTGTATTATGTGTAATGTAGTGTAGTGCAATGTAATGTAATGTAACGTTATGTTGTGTTGTGTTATGTATGTATGTCCATAGACATATATACTATATATATAATACTTATTTATATATACCATACAACTATACACATATGCCTAGCAAGTACAGCAACACATTCAAAATGGTTGGGTGCTCAACGCAACGAATAGTGATGGGTCCATTGGCGTCCCAAGTTGTCTCTCATTTCCAGAACTGGTTGTACTGTAATACCACACATCCCCATGTGATAATCATATATATATATGTACGGGTATATATCTATATATGTATAGATAGATAGTCCAACAGATAGACAGGTAGATAGATAGACAGACAGATAGATAGATGGATAGAAAGATCCATCGATCTAACGATATCGTGCTTGTTTGTTAACAAGTATTTTCGAATATACAAAGACACATAGATATATTTACATAAACACATGGTTTGATAGATTGATTGATAGATAGATAGTTAGATAGATAGATAGACAGACAGTCAGACAGACAGACAGACAGAGAGACAGACAGAGAGACAGAGAGGCAGACAGAGAGACAGAGAGACAGACAGAGAGACAGAGAGGCAGACAGACAGACAGACAGAGAGACAGACAGACAGAGAGACAGACAGACAGACAGACAGACAGACAGAGAGACAGACAGACAGAGAGACAGACAGACAGAGAGACAGACAGACAGAGAGACAGACAGACAGAGAGACAGAGAGACAGACAGAGAGACAGACAGACAGAGAGACAGAGAGACAGACAGACAGACTGACAGGCAGGCAGCAGGCAGATAGATAGATACACACATACACGCACACACAGACACACACATATATATATATACATATACATATGCAGTTGTATGCGATCATACCATGGGATATATCTTTCACTGTCTGGCTAGCACCGTGGCACCGTTGTGGCACAGGCCGCCGATGAGTTTATCAAGGCCGGGTTTTTATGTGACAGAGCGGCCCATTTTTTCGGCTCTCCTATGAGGAAAAACCATCACCCTGGATGGTTATCACCCTTTTTTAGCAAACGATAATGATGATAATGATAATGATATATATATATATATACATATATACATACATACCCAAATGCATGCTCAAATAATCCATACTTTGGATCTTGAGGGATATATATATACATATATATATATACATACCCAAATGCATGCTCAAATAATCCATACTTTGGATCTTCAAGGATATATACATATATATACATACCCAAATGCATGCTCAAATAATCCATACTTTGGATCTTCAAGGATATATATATATACATACCCAAATGCATGCTCAAATAATCCATACTTTGCATCTTGAGGGATATATACATATATATATATGATTATATGATTATATGACTATATGATTATATGATTATATGATTATATGATGGTATGATTATACGATTATATATATATATATATATATCTACAAAAAATCTAACATAAAAGATACATGCAAACATCTTCCACCCAGTGGATGGGATGCTCGCCGCTGGACATGGCACCATGGCACCAGGCGCGCTTGATAGACACCTGGGAACCAGATCCCAACGATCCCTTGCACACCTGTGGCAGCTGACAGCATCTCGGCGGATGCAGCTTTGGTTCACTAGACATCTACCCTCTGGTAATTTAACATAGCTATGGAAAATCACTATTTTTTATGGGAAAATCCACTATAAATGGCCATTTTCAATAGCTATGTTAAATTACCAGAGGGTACATACATCTACTTCTCCAGGTCGTGACACAAAAATCAGATGAAATCCAGCCTCAGGTAGATCTGAAAGCCTGACCGATGTGATGCTTGGAGTGACCGATGAAAAGTTCGCGAATGACGGGTGTTTTGACCCAGAACAGCTGGGTCCAGTGTCAGAAAACACCCTGAGAGCCGGACAGATTTTTCGGTGGGCAAAAATCTCCGGTACCTTTGGCTTGGTATATTACCAACCAAGCGCACCTAGTGGACTTTACCAGAATTTGGGACTAAATCGCCAGCAAAATACGCGGATATAGCAAGCAATATATCGCTGGTTGATGGCTTCATTGGATCATATTCCAGCATGGTGGCCACTGGGTATACGTCAACTACTTACTTTTGGTTGGGAAATGTGGTTGTGTCCGCAACATGTTGTTTTTTCATCAACCATCCATGTGCCATTTTTCTTGGGAAACTGACGATGAAGCACTGGATTCAGGGGATAGCCCTATTTTCAGACAAACTGACGATGTTCCATTTTGATCACCGGCGGTGTTGCCACAGGGAGAGACTTCGCCGTGGATCTCAGGATGCAGAGTGTCTGCAGAATTTTCAGGGTCCTGCCCTTGCGGATGAACAACACCATCGTTTGCCCGTTCTGTGACTCAGCAAAACAAGATATGGGTCCATTTATTTGGGGTATCCCCAAATAGATGTTTTACAATGGACCAGCATGGAATGTAGTATTAAAGTGGATCATTTGGGGGTAACCCCATTTTAGGAATTCCCATTGCTACAACATCAGCTTCACCCTGATCCATCGCTGATCCCGACTGGATGTTCATCTCACCGTCAAGCAATGAATGGTCTCATAATGTCCCATAGCCTTTTTACACAACGCTACTTGTTGGCTAGATCCACATTTTTCTTGGTGAGTGGCTCATGTTTCGCGGTATCCCCATTTTGCTGATCACATTCCCCGTGACTGACTCGGATTTTTTGGTAGGTCCCTCCATCAATAGGACTCTCACCAGGCTCGTCTGTACAGTTTGAGCTCGGCTCACGGTGTCACAGCCAAGTTGGAACGCCGCTGCCAAAATGTGCAGATTTCTGGAACAGGTCGATGTGGGCGGCGATGTTTGAAGATTTGGAACCAGGTCATCTTAACCAGGTTTTAAAGAGAACGGCTATGTCATGATGGTTAACTTTAGACTCAATGGTTCAACCAGAATTTGCAAAACCCTCAGTCTTTGGGGTTACTAATTTCAATCAATCACATATATATATACACATGTAGGTTGCATTATATACGCTGTATATGTATATATATAAGATAATATATATAATACACATGTGTATGTAGTAATGTAATGCGGTGCAGTGCAATGTACTGTACGGCACTGTGATGTGATGTGATGTAATGCCATGTTATGTTATGTATATATATATATACACATATCCCCACAGCAAAGCCTGCAAAAAACATTGTCAGGAGCTTCTCCCAGCAGCTTTCAACTGAGCACGGCTGGTGCCGTGGCTGTCCTGGCTGTCGCGCAGAGGAGGCGGTCATGTCTTCGGTGGGTCACCTTATCCCATAGCCCAACGAAGCAGAGAGACCCGTTGCTGCGAGGAGTAAAGGATGAACATATATTGACTGATACGAGGGAATCTAGATGTCTTACTCCAGAAAAACAGCTGCATCGCCAGAGATACATCTATATGTGATACTATCGTATTTGCTGCAGCAATGGTTATTGCATTCTACTGACATTTTTACAAACATGACACAGTTCTCTAGGTACGTTTATACGATTATATGGAGCACACGGAGTACAAAGGATATCTTGCAGCATTTTCATCCTTCCCCTGGTCATATTAAACATCCCCTATAAATTGTAATCCATTTATTTTTGTTGGGATTTCCACATATTCGGGCCACAAGAATGGGGGTGCTTAAAATATTTCTGACAAGAACGGGGGGATGGGAAATATTATGATGACAATGTAGAATCATGACCTTTTCATATCATATCTTTCCTATTGAAGCGGTTGGTACACACCTGTTTTCTTTATCCAAACCTCAACCAAAACCACCCGGGGACCTGTCTCAGGCGTGTAGCCAGGGCAGCCGAGGAGACAAAGAAGAAGGCCTTGGCAGTTCTGGTGGGACTGTTGGTTTAAGGCACTTCCATGGATGTAGTGAGATTTATAGGGGATTTATAGGGAATTTCGTGGGATTCTGTGATTTTTGTTGGGATGACCTTAAAAGGATATAGTGACAGCCAAGGGAATGACCTGACCATATTTTTACGGGTAAATCTCTCAGAAACGGAGCATGCAACCATCAAAATTACCAGAGGCCATGGCAACAATTGGGAAGTTTTCACCAACCATCAATGGAAAACCAATAGAAATGAACATGCATCAAACTTGGGGATCAAAACTGACTGGATTTTCTGTTGGCCACCAACGAATTTGTCTAGAACGGTACGGAAAAAAGCAACTGGACTTTATTACCAGCGGTATCCTAGCCTTGACAATTGCCGGCAATATTCTAGATCTATGGATAAACACTTTGAATAAATACAGCCTAGATGGTTCTTTGACACTTCTTACCTACAAATGGTGTATATATATATATATTGATTTCGAGCCGTAGTTTGGGGTTCGAGACAAGCAGTCGCAGAAAGCCACAGTAAGGACCATTCACAAAGCCTTGCATCAGAGCGGGTCAGCTTGAAATGTGCTATTCACCAGGTTTCAGATATTTTTACATTTTCCATATATATATATTAGAATGTATGTTTATACTATATACTATATTCTTCTTCTTATTATTGCTAATTATTATTATTATTATTATGTACACATGTCCATCTTACCTGGTATGAGATTGTCACCACTGCCTAGTGATTATTTGAAGTTCTTGGGGAAGACCCTGGGATGACTCCTAGAGTTGCTAGATCAGATAGATGCATGGCTGATAACCCATATATCCCAATAGTAGTAACATGTTTTCCTATATATCTGTCAGATTAGGGAATTATATATCAGTTCAGTTATCCTATAGTTATCTAAAAATTGCAATAATTCCACCTATAGCTATTCGCATATCATGAAAAAAAAATAGTCAGATATGATAGGAATCATATCATTACCATTCATTACCTATATATCATTACCTTATCCATTCATAAACTAATCATAGGCCATATCTAACTCTTCTTCGTTTATGACCAGCGTAGCTCCGCTCAGACAAGAAGCATCGCCAAGGTTCGAAGGGGGGACCGCGGGCCTCACCGTTTTTTTTCCCCCTCCCGGCACTTCCGTAATTGGGAGAACTCAAGGATAAATCAACCATAGAAAGAGAATACAGGGGAACTACTGTATAATATATAGATATAAAGGAAGAAAGAAAGAAAGAAAAGAAAGGAAAAGAAAAGAAAAGAAAAAAAAACACTAGATAGATAGATAGATAGATAGACAGATAGACAGATAGATAGATAGATAGATAGACAGATAGACAGATAGACAGATAGACAGGTGGCAGTGTTACAATCTTTGGAGAACAAAACGGACAAGTGAGGATATGCCTTGTGATCTCCTGTTTTTGCTGTCCACTGGTCATGCTTTGCCGATGCGATGTGCTCTTAGGGGTGGTTCCAATGCAAAACCAATGGGAAATCCACTGGGGAATTCACCCATTCAGGAATCCAGGATGAGGTGATGAATGGTGATGACCCAGTGGGTTATAACCCATCTATGACCCATCTCATACATAAGCTATATATATATACATACGTATATATATATACCACATATATATATAACCCATATATATATATATATGTAATATGATCTATGTATACCCTATTCAATCCCTATGAATCCATATGAATCCTATGTAACTTGACCATGGCAGACAACAAAAACGACTTTTTTCTTCGTGACGATCGCATCTCGAGGAGACCCTGGCGAGGTTGCGCTCGCGGTCACCCCGCACCACTCCCAAGGGACAGGTGCGCTCCAAGGGATTTAGAGGCCGCTGGTAGCCACGTGGGGGAGAATTGGATGGAATTTGTTGCTTCTACCTCTCGATTCACACAGTTTTCAGCCTGAAATGGGGATGTATATATTATGTATATATATATGGATCAATGGGATGTTGGGAGCAATTCTGTGAAGGGAAGATTATTTTTGACAACATGGGAATGATGAGATGATAAACCCAGGCACGCCAATACGCTAGATAGATATAGATAGACATAGATAGATCTAGATAGATATAGATGGATACAGATAAATAGAAAACGTCACGCCAAGTTGCAATGGGCATTTTTTCTTCAATTTCAGGATCTAAGTTCGGAACAGTTGTACCATGGCCAGTACTTGGAATGCACCATCCATGGCCTCGGGGATTTCCCAATGGCCATGGGGAACACCTGCGCAACACCGGGAACACCTGGCCAGGCCAAGAAGAAGATGCCACCCGCCCCCGATCCCTATGAGCTGGACGGGGATTCCACCCTGGTGAAGGGTGATTTTTGTAGCATGATATGGGGAAGGTGCTGTAAAACCATGGCCCCTGAAGGTTCCGCTGAAAAACTTGAAGAGTAGAGTCGAACCAACGGTGCTTCCTTTTTGGCCGAAACTTATTTGCGTGAAACTGGCGAAGTCCACAGAAATGGGACAACACATTTTTTTCCTCATTCTTTTACAAGTGCATGTTCCATCATTTTCGCCCTGAGTTTTCAAGACGTTTTCTACAACGGGCCAGGATGAGGAGGGCCGCAAGATCTTCCCGTGGCCCAAATCCTTTGCCGAGATCGTCCGAGGGCCTACGGAAACATGTGATGTTCAGGGGTAAAATGGTGCTCCATTTTGAGTAAAGACGATGACTACCACTGATTACAATTACAAAAGTAGGTCCCCAAATTGACAGGTAGGTTAAAATGTTTGTAAGATAGTAATGAAACTTGTGATATTTGTTAACTACCCTTTCATCGGTCTAAAATGGTCCTCTTTTTACAAAGTCTGTTAAATGGTAAGTGCCCAATCCTACTGGTAGAAGGGTGTAGCAAAGGATGGCAAAGGCTTGTAACGTAGAAAATGTTTGGATGAAAACTGTTGAAAGACTTATCTAGGTGAAGATATGATCTAGGTACAATGTGATTTACCTAGGTACCAGATTCCCACAACATCCAGGTACGGTATACTGGTATACGGTATATATGCAATGCATATATATATATACATAGAAACCGCTTCAGATGCTCCACAGCAGTCAAGTCGGATCGACCTCAGGTGCAGACTTCCTTGTTCTCGCCCCGCGGCTGCTTTTGGCTTTGATGGTGACGTGGATTTCTCTAAGAAACTTACGCGAGGGTTTTACCCCCAAATCCAATGGATTGAAACGTCATTTTTCGGATTCAAATCGCACTTGGAAAATCCCCTGATTTGCAAAGAAACTGTAGGGCACTGGCCGAGATCCAGTCCAATTCCAGATGTAGCACTGGCTCAAGCTTCCCAAGGTCACGGTTAGTGGAGATCCACCATGGGATGCGATTGAAATCTGAGGACCATGAATCTCATCATGGAGGGGGAGACCCGCATTGAGGCAGCCACAAAGGGTTCGGCTGCGTGGCTAGGACTGTGACGTGGTGGTCTAAAGATTGGATTGGGTACTTGGATCATCTTGAAGAGTAGTGAATGGTTTGTGACTGTGAATGGTTCGTAACGTAACTGGTTTCTAGATATTTCTAGCATATTCTGGCAATGTAATAGTATGTAATAATATGATACCCTTTACTAAGATCCCGCCCTGGGGATAACTCCCAGGGTTCTAGAATGGGGATCGCGCGCAATTCTAGACCTTTGACCTCCCCCCATTGTAGACCTTTGGAGGTTTTGGTTCCTAGAATGTCTTGTAGTATATTGTAATGTGCCACCTCCGATATCCATGGACCATCCGGAACTAGGTAAGTTGTTTTTAAAGCACACAAATGTCCTGGACAGAAAGTTTCCTATGCGAGCACTATGATTGATATCTCTAGGAGGGAGTTCGGTATTAAGTTGGGAATTCTGCTTGGGATTAGAATCTGAATTGCTTTCAGGCTAATTTTTTGCATGGTTCTGTTGGAGCAGAAGACCCAGTGGCTTCCATGCAATCTTAGGTTCTTGAACGTAAACCATTTACCCCAGTTCACTCCGAAGGTTTATGTTCACATGGGCCATGGACCATGGATATGAACATATCGCTTTGGCTGCGCAACCTGCTGAAACAAAACTTGCAAAGTGCATAAACGCGGATCAAAAAACAACAGGATGCCAGGTACCATTCACCAATGCAACAAGAGGCCCTAAAATGATATCTCCCAACTCATTCTGTGGATTTATCTTCACCAGGCCCATAGATATGAACTTAGACCCGCCATTCCTGTACAACCCTCCGAACCAAAATGTGAAAACAATATGATTTATTACTCGGAAACGGTTGAGTTCTACACAAGGTTCTGAAATGATATCTCCCAACTCATTCTGTGGATTTATCTTCACAAGGGCCATACATATGAACTTGGACCCGCCATTCCTATACAACCTTCTGAACAAAAATCAAGAAACCAATTTGATTTACTACTCGGAAACGGTTGAAGTTTATACAAGGTTCTGAAATGATATCTCCCAACTCATTCTGTGGATTTGTCTTCGCAAGGGCCATAGATATGAACTTAGACCCGCCATTCCTATACAACCTTCTGAGCAAACATGAAAATACCAATTTGATTTATTACTCGGAAACGGTTGAATTTTATACAAGGTTCTGAAATGATATCTCCCAACTCATTCTGTGGATTTGTCTTCAAAAGGCCCATAGATATGATTTTAGACTCGCCATTCCTGCAAAATCCTCTGAACAAAAATTAAGAAACCAATTATTTGATTTACTACTCGGAAACGGTTGAATTTTACACAAAATTCTGAAATGATATCTCCCAACTCATTCTGTGGCTTTATCTTCACAAGGGCCATAGATATGGACTTAGACCCCCCAATCCTGCAAAATCCTTGAACAAAAATGGAAAAACACAATTTGATTCATCATCCGAAAGGTGTTGGGTGCCAGAAAGTTCTCTTTAAAACAGATTTAAACATATTTAACACTTTTTGAAATATTGCCAAAAATTGTCTTACGACGCTTTCCCCTGATAACTACATCGAAACCTTAAGTACTAATCAAAAAATGAAATGATCGTCAGGACGCGAATAATAAAACAGTCCCCAACCAATCAGTTTTTAGTATTAAGATGAACCCTCAAATGGGATCTTGACCCTGAAAATTGTTTTCTGAAGGCGAATAACTTCAAATTTACCAACCTGAAATTTTCTGAAAATGACAATCTGGATCTATGTTTATTCATTAGGGGGGTTAGAAATAGGAAAAGGGTATTAGCATGGGAGCAAAGGAAACAGGCGGATGATAATTGAGCTTGTGAGATTGTGGGTTTTGCTTGTATGCAGTTTTTGATTCCTTTTTTTTGACAACAGAAAGGCTCCAAAATGAAGGGGTTCTAGGATCATAAGCTTGATTTCCGAAGATTTGATTCCAGAACCCTCCCAAAACAAGCTGCCAAAGGTCCAAAAGCAATTCGTTGATCCCCACACCCTCCCCCTGGGAAAATCATTTCAGACCCCTTTTTGAGGGTCTAAAATCTTCCTCAAGGGTCCCTGCTCGTACTTGAGGGTATATAATATTTAATAGTAATATATCGGGCGACAAGGCAGCTACCAAGCATTTTTATATCGTATTTTTCAGGGATCAATCCCCTCTCCTGTGAACTCCACCATTGTGGTTGATGGTTTCATCCAGATCCCAACCTTTTCCCCAATGATTTGCGAAAGTCAGTACAATCACCATGATCATTTTCATCGGTTGGGACTGATTATCCCGAAATCTCTGGTTGACTATACCCATTCTCACCCATATTCTGAGAAGCAACTCCACCATCCTCATCCATTTTTTGGAGCTTAGATCCTAATTGTTTCCCACCTTTTTTCCCCATGAAAAACCTCCCGCTGTCCCAGCTCAGAGCCAACTGCCATCCTGCCAGGTGTGCTTTCCGCCCCTCCCCCTGGCAGACTTGGACTGGAACATCTGTGATTTAACTGAGACGCGGACCCCGTGGGGATGGCTGGGGGTGGGTACAGCAGTAATCAAAGGTGACTTGGTGGCAAACTGCCCAGCATTCGTAAGTCAGTCAGAACCCCAGTTCATTCGGTAGGGTGAGTAGGGATAGTCCAGTTGTAAGTGGGGTTGTAAGTTCTGACTCACTTACCATTTGGGATTTTCGCCACCAAGTAGAATACCATACTGATTTCACCATAGGTTGGGATATCACACATATAAACAATTCTGGCCAACGGCCAAAGGCGATAAACCCACTTGTTCAGTGGAACTACGCTGCCAACCATGGTACCAATGCCGACCTTAAGAGAGTGACCCTGTTGTAGCCAGTCTTGAACCATCATCCCAGGGCACAGCGCATGCTATGGCTATATTCAAAAATTTCTACACGAATAAACCCACTTGGGGATGGTTTATTATTGGGTTTATAATGGTTTATATGGGTTTACCACATTATAATTCATATTAGTTCCAGAATCTGGCGAACATTTCTCAGACATCAGACTTTCCGGACCTACGCGGCCGGGTTTCATGAAATCAGTTAGCCAAACATGTATATATGTATACATACATACATACATACATACATACATACATACATACATACATACATACATATATATTACAATACACCCATCAAACATCATTTATCCATTCAATTCCGACATGTTTATCTCTTTTGTATATTCTATGTTTGAACGCATATATTTTATCCAAGTTTCATTGAACTACAACTTCTGGTTGGGGCCCAAGTTGGACAATCTCTGCGATGACGGTGGCAGGATTGTGGATGCCAACATTCAGCACGCC